CACCAGTTATCAAAATGTTCTTCGCGTCAGGAAGAGGCTCGAAGTTGGTGCTGCCAATGAGTATCGGCGCCTGCTTCCATAGTTCCTGCTTGACATGCGACCTCGCATTGAGAACGGTCGACCGTCGCCGGCCTGGTGATGTTAGCGTCGGGGTTGGACTGTGCCTTGCATTGCATCGTGCAGGTGCCCAGGTGGAGACTCACGCTTTACGCCATTGGTGCCATTGGGCACATAGTGGGTGCTGTCAGAGCCTTGGGTGGAACCCATAGTAGCGGTAGCTTGTGTTGTCATCTACCAAGCGTCGTCGAACGCTTGCTTGACATGCTCGAGTTTAACATACAATAAGTTGTACTGGTCACGTATGCGCGCGCTGCTGGCCGCGTGTCTGCGACGAGCGCGATACGGCACTAGCCCGACACGGAGATGCATCCGTCATTGCGCGTTACGTCATCAGAATGGCGAATCTGTCCAGGTGCTCAACACCAGCTGGGCGAGAACGCTGCATCAACACCGCATATGCCCGCATTGCGACACAGCGAATCGTTAGGTCCCGATACATACCACGCATTGGAGCTTCGTTGAGCGAAGATCAGCCGTCTGCTCCGTAGATACCGTGTCTACCGCACCGAAAGTCGAGCCATAACAACGCTATGCATCAGTCTGAGCGAAAGGCGCATATTCTTCTAATTCGAAACCAAGGATCTTCTCCGGCTGGCCAGCGGAGTCTGTTCCATGTATTTGTACTTCAACGGAAGCCAGCACACGAGACGTGACAGGGACGGCGTTACACATACCCCGCTTCCCACCCATCCCGTCAACACCTATCTACGCGTCTCGTAGCTTTCGCAGCGAATTGGATATGTCGGCGCGATACACATGTTGCGGATTACGCATGTCTTTATTCCCGGCCCTCCCGCGAACAGCCAAAGCGGGCTGCCCCACCACTGTAATGTGGGGATGATCCCCAGCCGTAGCATTCGAAAACAAAGTAACGGGTATGATTACGTGAAGGCGCGTGTATAAGCTTCTCTTTAAACATCATGACCATTGCTGGCACAAAACTCTCTGCACCCACCAGCTTCTTGGTTTGCTATTGAGATAATCGCCTTTCTGTAATTGCGAGCATGTGGGCTACTTATCTTATTCTTTCGGGCATCATCGCTCTTGTACTTGACTACAGCCGCATGCTGTACCTAAGATGGCGAATGGTAGTTCCTCACTCCTTTGCCAGCTTCATGTCGGGTCTGACACTAATACGCCAACAGCCTCCAGGACCGTTGCCTTGGCCTATTGTTGGAAACACCTTCAGTCTACCGGAGGAAAAGCCCTGGTATCTCATGGAACAACTATCGAAACAATACAAGTCACCGCTCATCACGTTCTGGATCGGGCGGTTAGTTCCACAGCAGTTTTGCCGTTCTGAACAGTGAATAACACAGCACAGGAGACCGACAGTCTGGGTCAATGACGCGTGGACTGCTGATGAGCTTCTCGTCAAGCGGGCAAACATCTACAACTCTAGACCCCGCATGCTGATGTTTGCGGAGCTGATGTCCGGCCAAATGAATCTGCTGCACAAATACACGTACACAAAAGAACAGCGTGAAAGGTTTCGCGACCTCAGGAGAGTTACTCACCAGGGTGTTGGGATACAGCAGGTCAGCGTAACACAGGGTTTCATGTTACTCATACTAACGTTACCAGATAAAACGCCATCGAAGCCTTCAAGACGACGAAAACAAGATAGTAGTATGCGACCTACTCGACACCCCACACAAATTCGTAGCTCATTTCGAGCGCTACGCTACGAGCGTTGTGTCCATCATCGGCTTTGGACGTCGGATTGGAGACATACAAGATCCGTTGATCACTGAAGTTATCGCGCAGATGCAGACCTCTGCTAAGATGGCAGTCGTCGCCAAGGATTTTCCGCGACTGATGGAGACCTTCCCATGTAATTTACGAATCCACCTACTCAAATTCATACTAACAATGACAGGGCTGGCCAAGTTTCCCAATTGGATGGCTCCTTGGAAGCGTGATACTCGACGTTCAGCAAAGCCCAAATACGGCCGCAATGATTTCTTCTATGCTTTAGCCGAGGAAGCCAAGCAATGTCCAGAAGAGAACTACTCCAAGTACCTGTTTCGCGAAGCACCTCACCTCAATCTTCATCCTCTCGAAATCTCCAATCTCGCCGCTAACCTACTCGGTGCTGGAGCGGACACTTCAAGTAGCACTCTACAAACAGCGGTACTGGCAATGCGCGCCTTCCCCGAGACCCTTGAACCCGCATGGGAAGAGCTAGACCGTGTAGTGGGTCGATCGCGAAGTCCGACGCTCGATGATGATCTTCCGTATCTCCGCGCTTTTGTCAAAGAAGTCTTCCGCTGGCGTTCGGTCGCAGTGATAGGAGGTACTGCTCACGCACCCACACAGGATGACTATTACAACGGCTACTATATCGCGAAGGGTACCTGGGTGCAAGGCAACGTTTGGGCGATACATCATAACGAGCGCGAATTTCCCGACCCTGATCGCTTCAATCCAAGGAGATTCCTCGACACGGATGATAAGAGACCGTTTCCTGGTGAGAAGGGATATATGACTTTCGGATGGGGCAGAAGAAGCTGTGCTGGTCAAGCGTTGGCTGAGCAGGGTACGCATCTCAGCATTGCGCGATTGGTATGGGCATACAAGGTGGAGCCAGAATTGGACCCAAGAACGGGAGAGGAAGTGCCTGTTGACATCTTCAAGTTCACGTAAGTCGTGTTTCGAGACCCCAAGGCTATAAAGCGTTATGGGTACCAACTTTTAGCAGGAGCGGATCGAACTGGCGACCTCAGCCATTCAAAGTCAAGTTCACACCCAGACACGAAGAGATCAAGCAAACGGTTATCCGAGAGGCGCTGCAAGCACGGCAAGATCTGGCGAAGTATGACCGCGAAACCAAGTACAAGTTCAGCACGTTTTACGAGTAGGGACTGGTTGAGATGCGATATCATTCATGGATTGTATGTATGCGTCGACTCGCTAGGTCGATCAACTCTCGAAATGGCAAGGTGTCGGGCATTTCCATACAGCTTTGCATAACACCCCTGCCAGTGCGGAGAAGACATGGGTTTCTCCTCACTGCCCCACGATGCTAACCTCGCCTGACTCGCATATTTCGCTGTATAAGGCTGCGATCCCTTCTTCTCGCAGACGGATACCGGTCAGTCTCTGCGTGGGCAATAATGGCAAAACTTCAGGAGACGTCCTTGTGGGCGAATCGCAAATGCTTACTGATATGCTCCGCCGTCGCTATTGCTAGCATGCAGTACGGCATCGATACCGCTGCAGTAGGCGGTCTGCAGGCGATGCCTGGGTTTTTGATGGTGTTTGGATATGAGGACCCGACAAGCCCGCTTGGCTATGGTATTGATGCAAGTCCACATAGCCTATGACATCGCGAAAGCTGCTGACGCGCAAGATAGTCGACGGTGCAACAGCTCATGACCTCTTTGCTAAATCTGGGTTCGTGCGTATCTGCCATTGCTGCGGGTGTGTTTGGCGGCTACTTCGGTCGCAGGAAGGCTTTGTGGCTCGCATGCATCATATGTCTGGCTGCAGTGTCGGTACAGATTGGCTCTACCTCCAAGGCCGGTTTATACGTTGGTCGTCTGTTGCTAGGCTTCTCCAACGGGTTCTTTGTCGTATTTTCGACCGTGTACTGCAGCGAAGCAGCACCTGCGCATCTCCGGGAGTACGTTTCTGGATCTCTTCACAGACGATAAACACACTAACAATCAGCAGAATCATGGTCGGACTCTTCTCTTTCTATGTGAATCTTGGAAGCATCATCGGTTCCATCATCGACAACTACACTTCACGCTACCTCTCGAAACTCTCCTACCAAGTCCCTCTCGCCTGCATGTTCATCGTCCCGGTTCTACTCGGCACAGCGCTTTTCTTCGTCCCCGAGAGTCCGCGATGGCTTTTACATCGTGACCAGCATGATGCGGCGCGCAAGTCTTTGGAGCGTCTTCGTTTCGACCATGGTGAAAAATTGGAGTTGGAGTGGGCAGAAATGATCCGTGGTGTGGAAGAAGAGCGTAGGCTCAGTCAAAGCTCAGGCTTTCTGGACCTATTCCGCGGCAACGACTTGAGACGCACACTACTTTGTTGGGGCACGATCGCGAGCCAGTCAGCGAGTGGCGTCTGGTTCTTCATTGGTTATCAAACCTACTTCCTCGCCATCGCTGGTATCACGAAAGCCTTCGAGTACAGTATTATGACCTCGTGTATCGGTTTCATCGGTGTTCACCTTGGTCTCTTCTCCATGAACAAACTCTTTGGCCGAAGAACGATCATGATCGCTGGAGCGATAGCGTGTGGTTTATGCGAGCTTGCTTGCGGGATCGCCAGTAGCGTAAAGCCCAACCCAGTCGAGACTGGAAACGTGTTAGTGGCTTTTACGGCACTGTTCCTATTTTGCTACAATGCCGGAGTGGGCGTTGCGACAAGCCCTCTAGCGACAGAGCTTGTCAGTTCAAGACTTCGAGCTTGGACGGTTGGCAGCGCGAATGCTCTTGGATACTTCCTGGCTTGGCTGATCGGCTTTTGCTCGCCATACTTCATCAACCCTCAGGATCTTGACTGGGTGAGTAAGCATGCTTTCTCTTCTCTATAACGCTAACACGATCTCAGGGCCCGCAATACACGTACATATGGGCAGCTTCGAACTTCATATGTGTGGCCTGGTTCTACTTCTTCCTCCCGGAGACGAAAGCGCGATCACTAGAGGAGCTGGATGAGATCTTCGAAGCTAGAGTGGCGGCACGAAAGTTCAGGCTGTACGAGTGTAGGATTGTGGAGGATGCGAAGCAAGATGTTTATGGGAAGGAGACAGTTGAGACAACAAAGCAAGCTGCTTGAGGGACTGTGTACGTTTTGGGCAGATGTAAAGTTTTACGCTGCATACTCTACGTTTCTCTGCAGCTTTGCATGCTCCTCTATCCCTACTCATCCTCATGAGGCACTTTCACTCGGATTCTCACAATCTCATCGACGATCGTGGACGGGTCGTCTGGTGCGGGGAGTTCATAGGACATTTTCCATCCCAGAGAAGGCAGGGCCAATACTTCTTCACGAGTCCGATTGGGATGCCAATGCGACTCCTGGAACCAGTGTGAAATCCATTGCCACGGGATCAATGCCTTCTCATAGCTCGTGAAGTCAGTCGTGGCCTTGTAAGTTTTGTCGCCAACGGTGAAAGTAGATGATGTAGCAGTACCACGATCGTCTTTGTGGCTGAAACTCGCGACGGCAAGGGCAGCGATATCTGTGTATTTCATTGCTATTTTGCTTTGGTCAGCGACGAATTGATGGAAACGGATGCAACGGCCTTGGAAAGTTGCCCGTTCCCAGGAGAGACCGCATTCGGGAAATGCGAAAATCCTGGCTTCTTCCTCGTTAGCAAAAGCTTCCATCGATAGACCTTGGGGATCATTGCACTTGAAAATCGGAAACTTGTCGAGACAGTGGGCCAACTCGTGAAGCAAGACGTGGGCGAGAAGGAATTGGGGTCCAAGGTTCTGTACGCTAGATGGAGGGGGAGGACCAGAATCATCTGTCACAGTTGTCTCGGAGTCTGGATCGAGCACTTTGCGAAAGAATGAGTGCAAGAGCACGCAGGGACTTGTCGGTGCTCCCCTCTCTGGTCGAAACCGCAAGCCCTCGCCCATCATATCGGCGCAATAAGCCAGCATACCGTTACGTACCTTGGCGCTCCTATCCGCTTCGCGCCAATTGCAAAGCCTTAAAACCTCGTTATAAGTCTTGTCATTGGTCGCGTGGTCTGAGAAGGTTGTTCGGAGCTCATCAAAAGCGAAAGTTAATCCCAAATCCATGTCTGTCGGGGTACGGTCGGATTCTTGCACCTTCCAAGTCAAAACGCTAGTTAGGTTATCCAGTTTCTCCCTCCATTCGGCCATCAAGACGGACTTCTCTACTAGCCGATAGTTTGAAACGTAAATTAGCGGGGGCGGGGCATCTCCTACGAAGGTCTGGGAAGGTAGTGTCCGACTCCTCATCTGATGCCAGAAATAGTCAAGAACTCGTTCGTCTCCCACGAATCGACTTGCAAGTTGCAGAGCAGGCCTCATGTTATCATACATGTGCTGCGAAACGCCGATGAACCGGTTGCGGGCGAAAATTGGTGAGATCTCGTTATTGAGAGTACTTGTACTCGAAGTGACATTGAAGAAGCCTTGTTCCTGGAGATGCTGGATCGCGTCTTTCTGTACGTTATCGACATGGCCTTTGAACTCGTGCATGATTGGTAAGATACGAACTGTCGTACTGCGCCCGTCTGGACACTTTAATAGTGATCTCCAGGGTATGCTTGCTGTTAGCAAAGTGTGTCCTGATGCGATGCTACTAGTCACGATGGATATGTAGATTAGTTTGCAGCAATCAACAACTTATCCAACCACACCGAGATGATCGGGAACTCGCAGGGCTTTGCAGTCATCATGAAGTATGGCCATTTGTATGTAGTTCAGTGTATATCTCCATGCTCGCTCAAACGTGGCCATCAACTAAAGCCAAGCCAGAACACTGAGCGTTGCAGCCATTGCTAATGCTGTCATACCGAGCTTGTGCGCGGCCAAGGTGTTTGTACCAGCGTCTTGTTTAATCAGCAAGCTGTAGTAGTACGAAATTAGATGAGACAGATACATACCTTCGACATCGGGAGTCTCCGTTGCGTCAGCGCCATCCTCTTCTGACTCAGTGGTGGAAGGCGACGCCTCAGTGGACTCGGGCGTCTGAGTCTCTGGGGAAGTAGACGGTGTCGATGCGACTCCGGTGTTGGATGATGACATCGCTGAAGTCGAGCTCGCAGACACGACTACACACGGTCCGCCAATGAAAGGGTACGGTCCTCCAAGGAAAGGGTACGAAGAAGGAGCCATGTCGTTGACGCAATCGAAGAAATCGCTCCCATTGTCTGCCTCGCACCACTGAGTGCAGTCGTTCAGGACACGGACCTCGGCATCGCTGTTGCAGCAGGATGTGATGTTGATATCGTTCGGAGGAACGTTGACCTGACAGATTTGACCTGTGAGTCCCGTAATGTTGAGACCATTGGGAGCGATGCCTGGAGAACAAGACGTGGGTGTAGGCAGGGCTACGCTCGATGGGATCGTAACGACTTCTGATGCGATCGAAATGAGTGTTGAAGTCATGGTGTTGGGGAGAGGTACAGTCTCTACAGTGAATGCTGAAGTCATGATGTCGGTTAGAGATTCAGTCTCTGTAATGAAGACGGCAAAATGGAATGAGCGAAGTAAGAAGGCGAACAGGGAGAGCACGATACGTGGTAATGCTCAAGTATACCTAGGTAGGTAGCAGCGATGCAACAAACGCGACGTCATCTGTCATACTGGAAGCCGACCGTCCCGGAACCGTGTCTTGGTACACAGCCAAGACAGAATAAGGCAGAATCAACATAACATCACCCTTTGTTGTCTCAGTGCATCGTCCACTCTGATGCCGCCTGGGAGTGCGCCAAGAGCGGGCACGGTTAGCGCGGCACTACTGGCGCCTTCAGGTACCCGTGCCTCTCACACCTTTACTTCCAGTTATCCGGTAACCTTGATGATACGGTACGCCCCGTTATAGCGGCGCTTGAAGTGATGTTGCTGTTGCGAGTTCGAAAAGGGGTAAGATCGTCGTGGCTTTCGCATCAAACGGAAGGTTGCAGCGTTGTGGCAAAGTTGACGGCTATTATATCACCGACGTTTGTGCTATCTGGACGCGTCCCTGACATGAGCTCCATGTTAAATATCGATTACGTTTATACAGCGTTCTTATTAGGACGATGAGAGGAAGCGTATTATGATCGTTACACACGATATTCAATAGCACTCACTGCTTGGGGCTGGCAAACTCCAAGAGTGAGCAGCCAAGATGCAGTGTTAGACTGTATTAGCGTGTGCAGCAGTCACTGTAAGCCGCTTAAGCAACTATGTTTGACTGTGTTTACCCGTTTCGTGCTTTGCCACGGGTAACGGCTTTATATACTTCTACCCAAGTTTTGAACGACGTGAACTGTCGCCGGAAATGGAAGGAAGAATGGCATCTTCATGTTATCTCGCGCGAGGGTAACATACCAACAACAGCAATTCCTAATTCATATGAAGTACAACTTAGTTGTTTTGTAAACACGGATTTCATACTTTGCACGAACGACTAAACTAGTAGTTCTACAATCAAGAGATTATCTAAAACCCAACTTCTCAACTTCTTAGATTTTCGACTTTGTCTAATAGTTACTTCATTAATGTAGCATCTATCCTACTATCTATTATCTACAATTACTAAGATAGCGAAATGCTAGACTAGCCGTTCTGTAATGTGCTTCTTATCTTTTCGGTAGAATCTCCAGAACGGCAAATCGCCAGAGCGGGAATTCCACAAATCTGCTTCCTACCTTTGTATAGAATTGCCGGATCGGCAAGATACCAGAGCGGCAATTATACAACTCTAATTCTTACCTTTCTGTAGAATTGCCAGAACGGCGAATTGCTAGAGCGGCAATTCTACGAATGTAATCCTGATCTTTCTGTAGATCTGCCAGATCGGCAAGATACTAGAGCGGCAATCCTGCAAATCTAATCCTAACCTTTCTGTAGAATTGGCAGAACAACATAATGCTAGAGCGGCATTCCTACAAATGTCATCCTAGTCTTTCCGTGGAATTGCCAGAACAGCAGATTGCCAGAACGGCGAATCCACAAATCTGCTGCTCATGCTTTTTGTAGACTTGCCAGAACGTCGAAATGTCAGAACGTCAGATTTCCAAAAAGTCACGCTGCCAAAACGTCAGATTGCCAGAACGTCAAATTGCCAGGACGGCATTTCCTCAAATGTGTTCCTAACCTCATTTGTAGGATTGCCAGAACGTCAAACTGCCAGAACGTCAGGTTGTCAGAACTTCAGATTGCTAGAACGTCAAATAGTTAGAACGTCAGATTGCCAGGACGTCAGTTTGCCAGACCGTCAATTTGTCAGAACGTCAACTGGCCAGAACGACAGATTGCCAGAACGTCAAATCGCCAGGACGGCAATTCTTCAAATCCGTTCCTCGTCTTTTCTGCCTGTGGACGAAAATACCAATTCCTTTTTGTCGCAGAACTCACTCCCGCAAGGCTCTAGACGAGCTTTCTACGTAGTTATACCTGGACAGATATAGACAAGCCCGCGAGAAGCTTCCCTTATAAGGGCGCTTCCCCGCAAAGCTTACGATACAATCATCACATTTGCTAGGGCGGTAGACTCGTGGAACACGACACTAGTGACTGGCAGCTATGAGCTATACGAGGATGAGGATGTTGAAGTCTTGATTGAAGGGCTAGTCTAAGCTCTTTGTCGCTTGCTCCTACGTGTGCCCTCTTGCTTCATCGTGACCACTGGCTGCTCCTTGTCGGGCTCCTTCTTTATACGCTCCCGCTTGGCAGCCTCCTTTTTGGCTGTTGTATGTTTTTGATCTTTTTTGCGTGTGAGGGTAAAAAGAGCTTTTTTTTTTGGTTGCAGCGGTGCAATGATCGAACGTGACACTACGGTGACGGACAGCAATGAGCTGCCCGGTTGTACGAGGATAAGGGTGTTGACCTGTTGATTGTAGGGCTGACCTAAGTTCTTTGTCGTTTGCTCCTGCGAGTTCCCTCTTTTTTCACCATCACAGTCGGCTCCTCCTCGGGCTCCTTCTTGATACGCTTCCGCTTGACAACCTCCTTCTTGACTGTCTCTTCGAGAACAACGTCCTCTTCCTCCTTTTTTATTGTCACCTCTTCCTCCTTGACCTCAACCTTGGCGACAACCCGATCTGAGAATGCCTTGAGGTCCGCCGTGAACAAGACGGAATGCGCCCATCCAGCTTCTTTACCCCACAGCTTCCGAAAGAGGTTTCCAATGGCAGCGTATGTAGCAGCGGTCAAGCTGCTGTGCTTGCCCTTGCCGAACCTGTAGTCCTTCTGCGCAATCTGCCAGACATGGGTGTCGACGGGAACAGACTCGGACCAGCCGAGTCCGAAGAGACACACACAGTCTGCGACCTTTGGACCCACGCCGTGGAGAGCAAGAAGCTCTTCGTGCGCTTGACGGTATCCTTCTCGACCACCTTCGAGCATCTCTCCGGCGGGCTTCTCTTCCATGCCAAACTGCGGACACTCGGGATTGCTCAGGTCCTCCAACCACTTCATGCCCTTGTCCTCGGAAACCATCCGCGCAGTCTTTGCAATATACTTGGCGCGGTATCCAAACCCAAGCTTCATGAGATGCGCTTCGACGTCGGGGCCCGAGAGGGCGTCGGGTGTGGGGAAGTCGTGGTAGGGTATGTCGTCGATGGTGCCTATATGTGGTCCGTAGTGCAAGCATAGATTGTGTACCATGCCCGATATGCGACTGATATTGTTGTTGCTACTGCATATGAAGCAGATGAGGGCCTCCCAAGCATCTTGTCGCAGGATCCTGATACCCGTGAACTTGGGTGCGCGCTTCTTGAAGTTGGCGTCGGAGGCTGCCCATTGCTCGTACAGCTGGCCAAGATTGGGCGCGAGGTTGAAGTAGTGCTTGATAAGAGCAGCAGTATCGTCTTCCTCGGGGGCGACTGAGGGCGCTTTGGAAGGAGGTGGCGTAGGGAGAGCGGTGGTGGCAGGTGGGTAGGTGGCGCGGTAGTGGAGATATTCGGCATCCTGACGGAGGGACAGTATGCGACCATGGAGAGCCATAGACCACACGTCATCAGCTGACTTGCGCCATCTGGTCCCATGTTAGGAAATGTTGCGACTCGAGTACTTGAGGAAGGGCGAAGGTACCTGAATGATTGTCCACATCGCAAAGTCGTGTTGATACATAGCTCAGTGAGGCTTGTAGGCAACTTGTGCCATTCAGCGGCGCGTAATGCCATTGTCGTTATAGTCGTGGTCTGCGCCAGGAGTGAATGATGCATCATGGTCTGGCCTCGGTGACAGGGGTAAGGCGCCAAGGGAACGGCGCGCTAAGGCAGGCCCCGACTTTCTCTCACACGTTTTCCGCGACGGCAACCGCAACCACCGCACAAGCATCGCGTCCTAGAGCCGGGACTGTTGCGAGTTGCTGATTCATCCACTGTTTCTTGATCAGATCTGCTAATTGCAGCTTCTCCCGCCATCTCACTCCCGACAGCAGCAGCATCTTACGCGGCTGAACACACGAGGGCGCAAGAGCTCCTAGCACCCACAACCGCCCACCATGAACGGCGATAGCTATTCCAGAGGTAAGCGAGTCTATCAGTACACGTACTGACTAGTGCACAGCTCCCAGAATCAAGACTAACAAAAGCAGACGGTGGCCGATCCAGCGGATCGCGCAACTACGTGAGTGCCGACACTCGTCGCGACAAAAGCGAGCGTACGCTGACTGAACAGTCCTCGAGAGATGACCATCGCGATCGCGGCGAACGGGGCGACCGTGGTGGCGACAGGCGCCGCCGTCGCTCCCGCTCCCCACGCCACGGCGGAGGCTCCCGCCGCGACTACGAGGTAGACACGTACTCTTCCAGCCGCGACTACCGTGAGCGCGAGCGCGAAGATACATACGCCCGCCGTGAGCGTCGCGATGACCGGGGCGAGCGTGGAGGAGAGCGTGGTGCCGAGCGCGGTGCCTGGGGCGATTCCTACTCCCGACGCGACCGACCTCGAGGAGGAGACCGCGACCGCGACGACGACCGTGGCCACCGACGAGAACGCGGAGACCGCAACGAAAGGGGCGGCGACCGATTTGGAGGCGAAGAGCGCAGAGGCGGACGGGGAGGACGTGACGGTGGCTTCGGCGGCGGACGTGATAGGATGCGTGCGCAAAAAGAGGAGTCTCCGCCATTTAACAAGCCGCGCGAGGCCACCCCCGATCTTACCACCTTCACCAACATCCAGAAACGGGAGCGTCGCATGACCCAATGGGACATCAAGCCAGCAGGTTACGAGAATATCACCGCCGAGCAGGCCAAGCTGTCGGGCATGTTCCCGCTGCCAGGAGCTCCTCGCGCTGCGCCCATGGACCCGTCCAAACTCGCCGCCTTCATTTCGCCTTCTGCAGGAACCGCCACCGCTGCCGCCCTCGCAACATCTGGCGCGAAGCAGTCGAAGCGTCTTTATGTACACAACCTGCCCCAGGGCTGCACTTCCCAAGAGATTATGGAGTTCTTCAACAACCAGCTCAATGGTCTCAACGTCGTCTCTGGCAACGACCCTTGCCTGTCTGCCCACATCGCTACCAGCAAGGAGTACGCCGCATTGGAGTTCAAGGCAGCCGAAGACGCGACCCTCGCCCTCGCTATGAACGGCATTTCCATGCGCGATGACGGAGGCGCACCTGATAGGTCGGGTCTATCTATCCGCCGTCCCAAGGACTACATTACTCCCACCGCCGACGAGAACGCATACCCGCCTGGCGATGAGGTTTCGTCCGTTGTTAAGGATAGTCCAAACAAGCTGAGCATCGTCAATATCCCCACATATATCGAGGAGGAGCAGATTCGAGAGCTCGTCGAGACCATGGGCAAGCTCAAGGCCTTCACTTTGGTCAAGGACACAGGAACCGACCAGCACCGTGTAGGTATCCTCCTAACCCACTGAACCTACTGAACTAACACAGCCCAGGGTATTGCCTTCTGCGAGTATGCTGACAACGGAGTCATCGACGCCGTTATCGAAGGTCTCAACGACATCCCACTCGGCGATGGTAACCTAAAGGTTTCGCGCGCAACTGTCGGACTTCAGCAGACGACTGGTCTCGACGGTGGAGTCGGCGCCATCTCAATGTTGGCAGGAGCCAGCGCTGCTGAGAACCACGAGCACAGCCGTGTGATCTGCCTGATGAACATGGTTACCTCGGACGAGCTGCTCAACGATGATGAATACGAAGGTAAGCTCGGCAACATTACTTGAAACATTGCGCACTTCTAACATCGAACAGAAATCAAGGAAGACATCGAAGAGGAGTGCGGCAAGTACGGACCCATTATCGAGACCAAGATCCCCCGCCCCGCTGGTGCCCGCGTCAACCTCGGTGTTGGCAAGATCTACATCAAGTACAAGGATACAGAGTCTGCGCAGAAGGCTATCAAGGCGCTTGCCGGTCGTCAGTTCTCTCGGAGAACCGTTGTCGCAACGGAGTTCTCTGAGGAGGGCTTTGACGTTGATGCCTGGTAGATATGAGATTGTTTGAGTTGCGCGTTCGACTTCTTCGGGTTGGTGCAGTTGCCCACCATTATTGCCGCGTTGGGGAGTACCAAAAAGGGAGAGTGAAGCTCAGCATTTGTACACTAATTTGGTTCCAGGGGATGTTAGCATGCCCATCGCTGAGATGGTACGAGTATGTGGTCGTATCTTGAATACCTAGGCTAGAGTGCCAGGCGCTCAAAGTAGCTTGCCTAGATATCACACCGCATTGTTATTGCACTCGATGAATTTGCCATGTGAACACTGTTTACCGTTTAAAAACTGGTGGCCTGAACCCGCTGCGGTACTGTTGGACCGCCCGTGAGATGATGATGAATTGGAGCTAATTCCGCGTTAATGCCGTAGCTGCCGTCGCTAAGCCCGACGCTACTGAAGATGAGGGAATCGTTTGGTCCGTCACGGTCCTATGTGGTTCGTCGCACTCCACAGTAGCTGGTTTTGGCGTGAGTCTCAAGGATGCTGCCCAGGAAGGTCTGGAACTCGGTGATATCATATCCCAAGAATACACCATTTCGGTGCGGGACGGAGGGATTGAAAGCGAACCCCCGAGCGCCGTCAAGGTGCGCGCTTGCCCTAGTCAAGCGCGACCTTCAAGCCCACCGTGATATCACGACGTTAAAAGCGCAAGAGCGCCCTCAACTTCGAAAGCCTTCATCACCTGTTCCGACCAATACCTCCCACACTCGTAGCCCAGCAACGATCATGGCCAGCATCAGGCGCTTCTTCTACTCCCAACTTTTTGTTACGCCACCCAAGCCCACCGGCGACCTGACTGGCAAGACTGTCATCGTCACTGGCTCTAATGTCGGTCTTGGAAAGGAATCCGCACGTCACTTCACCCAGCTCAACGCCTCCACCGTCATTCTCGCCGTGCGCTCCATCGAGAAAGGCGAGGCAGCGCGCAAAGACATCGAATCAACCACAGGCCGCAGCAATGTAGTCAAAGTCATGCAACTCGACATGTCATCCTACCAATCCGTTCTCGATTTCGCCCAGAAAGCAAGCAAAGAGCTCGAACGAGTGGACATCGCAGTTCTCAACGCCGGCGTGACCCGCGCCGCGTGGGAAGTTTTCGAACAAGACGAGTCTACCATCACCGTGAACGTCGTTTCCACCTTCTTACTGGCCTTTGCCTTGTTGCCTAAGCTTAAAGAAACGGCAAGCAAGTTCAACATGAGACCCACGCTTACCATTGTGAGCTCCGAGGTGCACGAGTGGGCGACTTTCGACGAGAGGAAAGCACCCGATGGCAAGCTCTTCGAAAGACTGAACGAGAAGGTCGTTAATGGGAAGGATGTTAGCCTGAACAACCGGTATCAAGTTAGCAAGCTACTGGAAGTACTCTTTGTACGCGCATTCTGCGAGAGATGTCCCGAATCGGACATTCCAGTCACAGTAAACTTGGTCAACCCTGGCTTCTGCCACTCGTAAGTTTACCGTACACTCCTTTACTGCCCGTATTATGCTAATCCTTTGAAAGCGAGTTCGGTCGCGAAAATGGCATTGCCGTCGCGATTGGACGCTTCCTGCTTGCGCGGAAAACGGAAGTCGGGTCGAGGACTCTCGCGCACGCTGGTATTTCAGGTGTTGAGACGCACGGGAAGTATCTCAGTGATTGTGAGATTACGGAGCCGAGTCCTTATGTGCGGAGTGAGGAGGGGAAGAGGGATCAAGAGAGGGTTTGGAAAGAGTTGACGGCGAAGTTGGAGGGTATCAAGGCTGGGATTACAGAGAGCTTTTAGGGCGATGATACAATGAATCAGCTTTTGAACTAGATGAGCTGCAGTCAGTGACTTACAGAGCTCACTTCAACTGGCACAGACATTCTTGGCTGGGTATATTCGCCTGTATTTTGGAGTTAACCCCCTTGCAAAGTCCTGACATTCACCAGTTCTACCCACACACAGGCCCAACTGAGAGCTCAGGTCTATAGCCATGGCCACCTGTATAGATACTGACTATCCGCTTGTCCCAATTCGAAAGTATCTTAATACTATCGAAGACATGGTCGTACCATCTAGTCTTTCAAAGGTCCCGGGCCGCGCATCTAGACATCGACCGTTATCGCCATTTGAACGGTTACCATTGGAACTTCGTCAAGAGATCTATGGCCGGCTTGGCGTTCTCATCGGTGGTAAGGTATGGAGGTATTACTATCCTGGTCGTGTCTATTACCGCGCGACTGTAAGATATTTCCTCTTCCCGCGATGGGATTTGCGCCCGGGTGGTTCATATGATGTCACGTATGCAACTGAACATCCATCAATACGATCTGAATGCTATGGGTCAAATGAGGTAAGTTCCACAAGAGTATATCGTCCATCGCTAAAATCCTGCAGCATCTTTGGTGGCCATCACAACTTCTATTCGTCTCCAAAGGCATTCGACGTGAAGTCTGGGACACGATGTTCCAGAGCACTGACGTTGCGTTCGGTTTCCAAGTCAGCAGCAAGGCTGTTCATTTTAGTGACCCACACGGAGGATGGAACTACGGTAACGATCGACCAAAGTAACCTTGCCACAACGCTCATATCATTGGTGTTGGGGGCTGACATTTTAGGGGCTTCTATCGCATGCATCTCAAGGATGAGCAATTTGCCAATCTGACCAAGGTCACTCTCACTGAGAAATGCGGTCATACATATTCCACCGACAACCCTCATCGCATGGCCAAAGTATCACCCCGCTCCATACTAGTCCGCCAAGCACACTCTGTACGCTACATCGCAGATCACTGTCGCTTTCTTGTCTCCTTCCGGATACAGCCCTACCTTCAAGGTTCAGTGACTTGGAGTGCACGGAAGCGACGTGGTCTTCGTGGCGTTGCGCCAAAGTCTACAGAAGCTCTCATCCAGGCCATCGTATACCTCGTAGAGACGTGTGAGCATCCAGAGACCATCTGCATCCGATACGTAATCGAAGTTCACGAGACAGAGGACTGTTACCTGGATCAGAGGCTGTGCGAGGACTACTTCAGCGATTCGTGCAAGTGCCGGGAGCAAGACTATGAGTTTCTAGTACCAGAAAGGGGTTACGTAGAACGTCTAGAGTGGGCAGAAGAGTGGACAAGGGATCATCTTGATTGGTTGCGGATGCAAAATCCAGAATGGGAAATGCTGTAGCCTCGCAACACTCAACGCAGGTGATATTTTTGTGTAATATCCCGAAAGACGTCAAATACTCGGACCAAAGCTATAGCATGGAGCTTCAACTGCTCCTACATACACTCAATGACTAAATATCCTGAGAAAAGCTTGTACTGTGCGCCAGCCTAAGTTCATCTCACTGCTAGTTGCTTGTCCTCACAAATCTATCTGAGCCGCAGGTCTCGCGATGTTGGTACGCCAGGTGTGCTCATCCACTGGGTTCTTCTGGTAGATGTTGACTTCGAAAAACTTGTTGTGAGCCGCACACTTGAAGTTCTTGTACCTAAAATGATGTTAGTCACAAATAGCGTCAATTCATTGTCTTCGCCACACTCACGTGTTCACCTTCTCGAAGTCCGCGTCAATGAGCCATTGCTCAGTTACCTCAGCGAATGTGCCGTCGGAACCGGTAACAAAATATCTCTTGCTATCCAGTGGGCCATAGTTCGTTTGCTTGACAACTTGAACTGCGAATGTGATGTTGGTCGCTGACGGCGGAGTACCCGTGTCACTTGCTTTGGGGTATTTTGCCCAGTCCATGAATGTTTCGAACTTGGATTCGTGGGACAGATAACGGTTTCTATATCCCTGGATATCTGAGCAGCAGAAGATCGAACGCATTATTGGCAAGCAAATTGGATATCCGTTATAATGAGCGGTTTCTGTGGCAGGGTAATGAGCTTCGCAATTGATGTGTCGCTCTTATAGTTGCGCAGTGTTTGTTAGCGACTCATCAACCGCAGATATGAACAAAAGAGGCCCATCACGTGCAGTTTGTGTCACTGATTCTTGTAACTAGGGCATGACTGGTGAGAAAGTAAGGCTCAATTCGTCTATACTACACAAACTACAACTAAAGGGTATCGTCTCATCTAATCATAAGCTCCTAGTTCTTGAGCACGTAACGGTACCTGGGAAGGCCCTTCTCGAAGTCAACGATGACATCGTTGGCCTCCGACATAGGCCTGACCTGAACCCAAGCCTTGAGGTTGGTCTTCTTGGCCAACTCCAACATGTCGCGGATGTGCTGCCTGGTACCGATCAAGCTACCAGCGATCTTCAAGTTCTTGAAGATAAGGCCCATGGGGGAGAAAGAGGGCAATGGGTCGTCGGGGGCACCGAGCTGAACGAAAGTACCGTTGACGTCGAGGAGGTTGAGGTACTGGTCGAGAGGGAAACCACCGGAGATGGTGGAGATGATGATGTCGAGGCCAGCGGCGTTCTTGTTCATCCAGTCGGGGTCCTCGCCGGTAGCGATGAACTTGTCAGCACCGAGTTCAAGAGCATCGGCCTTCTTGCTGGAGGAACGGGAGATGGCGACAACCTCGTCGCATCCGAGGGCCTTCGCGAAGAGGAGGGCGAAGTGGCCGAGACCACCGATACCGACAACACCGACACGCTTTCCTGGACCGGCACCGTATGAGACGAGAGGGTTGTAGACAGTTACACCACCGCACATGAGGGGGGCGGCGAACTCTGAAGGAAGACCCTCGGGGATGGGGATAGCGAAGGCGGCAGGTCCACGCCAGTTCTTGGCGTAACCACCCATGGCCTTGTCGCCAGTGCTGTACTTGGCGTTGTAGGTCATGACGAAGTTGTTGCAGTTGCTCTCCTGCTTGGTCTTGCAGGGCCTGCAGCCCTCGCAGCAGTCGCTCTGAGCACCAACACCAACGCGGTCACCGACCTTGAGGTCTTTGACATCGTCTCCTACACGGGTGACCTTGCCGATGATCTCGTGACCGACGACGAGGGGGTAGTCTGAGGGGCCCCATCCGGAGCGGAGTGTGTGGATGTCGGAGCCGCAGACACCGCAGTGGCTGATCTCCATCTCGATGTCGGTAGGCTCGAACTTCTTGGGGGTGTAGTCACCCCATTGCATGTTGCCATCGGCGGCGGAGGGGTCATGGGCAACCCATCCCTTGAAGTCTGGTGAGGAAGACATGTTTGTTTGGTGACGTTACTGAATGGAGGGAAAGGGATGAATTGTTGTGAGAGACGTTAGAATGGTTTGATGAGATGCAGAATCTACTACTACTTCTCGTCAGTCTTATACCTATGCACATTTTCTAGAAGTTTTCCAGCATTTGTAATACATCAAGAGACGGTATGAGGTTGCCGTTTCGTTATCCTAGTGTTTTGCTCTTTCGCCGATCTACGCCGACGGCATCGGACCCACTTTGACGACGTTTTTGAGCCTCAAGCGGTGCGTGCACAGCATATCCGTTAAACCCGCCCTCACCGGTCCGATAAGGGTATGGGTCTGAGGCGACAAGACTGCAAAACTCTCGGACGAGGCTCGCGGTGAAGACGTCAATCTGGGGCCAGTCCCGTAACGTGTATCATCGATCTGCCGCGACACGTGGGAAGCCCAAGGAGGAAGGCGTTTCGAACAGCGCTAATCTAGTTCCCGTTGACGTGTCGGGATTTAGAATCGGTTCGAATCTTTCTGTGCTTCTAGACCTGGTGGTGTTGTTATGTCAACATCTCAGAGATCTCCCTTTGCGTTGACCGCCAGGCTGAACACGCGCGCTCTCTTCAACATACAACCCACCTCATGCCATTGTCTCATGCAGTTGGCCTGACACTACCGGTTTTTATATCTCTCAGAAAGGGCCGGGGTTGTCATGCACAAGATCGTGTGACCGGAAGTTGCATCACCACAAGTTAGCATATCAGGGACCAAATGAAGTAATCGCAGATCTCAAGGAGAGACACTGCAGTCTTATTAGCGCGGAGATATTCCTTCCTATCATGCAAGTTTCTCCTTTATCCACTCAAGACCTTTTTTCAGCGCATGCTTCGCTTCTTCGTACTCTTGCCACTGAAGATTCACTTCGGCCCTTTTACGTTCAAGCGGTTCGCGTCCTGGTATCGAAAGCCTTGCGTCATAGGTGTCGGCGCCATCATCGAGTTTGATCTTGATGATGCGCTCCTCTTCGACATGACCGCAAAGGAGATCCCATACATGTTTCGTCACTTTGTCGAGTAAGAGCGTTGGTCTGTTGTCTTCGTATCGACAGATAAGTGGCAGCTTGATGGAGAATCCGGAGGTGCGAGACCTCATCTCCAGTGGTAGTGTTCGTTCTCCGAAACCATGTTCGGAGCCATATAACGACTCATCCAGGGCCTTGAGCGCACTTGTCCTCATAGACACTGTAAGCTTTTTTAGAGACATAGAAAATCAGCTAGCCAGAGTATGTGTGTAGAAGTTGAATGTGGGTTGCTTCGCGCAGATGACAAGGATCTTAGGTACTGTGTATTTTGCTTACCGGTAAGCAAGCCCAAAATTGCGCTGAAGTCACGCCTGCGGTTGAAATGACCGTGCAAAAACCTTTTACAGTCGCTCAATGACAAGTCATATGTAGCTTGATGGAATCTTTGAAGGCGTGAGTTGGGCAGCGCCACGACTGCACCACGAGGCGTTTTAGCTTAGCACTTCCAGCCGCTGCGTCCGCGGGTATGTGAAGCATGGCGGTGAATTCTGGATACCAATATAAAGACATCAATAAAGTTCACAAGCTGCTGATAATATGGCGATGAAGAACAATGGCTATGTTGAATTGCAGCTGTTGCATCGTGAAGATTGTTGGTGTTGAGATCTCGGGAGACATGGGCCGAGGCGGAGATGACGTCTAGCGTCTTGGCAGTCGTCATAGCCCAAACTCCCGGTGGCAGACGATTCGGGAGAAACCACGATACCCTTCTACAGTCCCGAATTCGAACGTGTAACGTTTGGAGTCCACGCGGAAACGAGTATCATGGGCTCAGTATGGATGGACCGCGGCGGGCAGCAATGTGAACATCTGAGTCCATGTCTCCAGATGATTGAGACAATGACCACGGCTACGAGACATCAGCAAGACCGCCTTCTTCACTGTGTCTAGGTGACTGTATAGTCTTTGCATGTGCGACAAACACAGAGTTCAGGTTTCACATCATGTAAGCCAGAACAAAGAAACTAATACTTATTTCATTGACAATGTATGCCCGTTGGAGCTTTGCTCAAAATCTGACAACACCATCTCTCCCCGTCAATATTCGCGGTGCGCGAGTCGGAATTGGACGAATTGACTATTGACACACCTCCATCAAGTGGACAAAATGGCGGCTGCTGAACCCTTGACCGATAAGCATGCCGTAGGCGACCAGACTGAAGCTGATGCGGTCTCCGTCATTAGCGATGATGAAGACATTGGAGAAGACGCGCGGAAAGATGTCCCGCTACCACCAGAAGTCAAACGCGGACCTGAAGATGAGCCTTTCGAAACTCTTAAGCACAAAGCTTCGCAGCTCATCCTCGATCTTTTTCCTGGTTACTGCGCCCGAGACGTAAAAGTCGAACGCATGCAAGACGGAGAAAACAATCGCTTCCTCAGCGTCACGCTTTGCAAGATTCCACCTAAGGCGCCATGGTACACTCCCCAGAGAATTCGCGAACTACTTCAGCCATGTCTAACAGGTCGGCCGACACGTCAAAATAAGCGAAAGCGTCTTGTTCTACGAATACCACACGATACTGATCAACACATGCACCATCAAGCTGTCATGCTAGCGTATCTGGGCCTGAAGCTCGAACATCCAGTCCCCAAGATTGTCACCTTCGATCCGACCGCACATAACGCGCTTGGTCGATCCTTCATGCTCCAAAAGCGGCTGCCTGGCCACCGCCTGGACGTCCTCTGGCCAACGTTGAACCAAGTCCAGCGACTCAGTGCCGTGCGAGCCATCTCCACCATCTTGCTAGATGTAAGGAAGATACGGAACAAGTGCCCTGGTCTCATCGGCATCCGCAACACGACCCGGGACCTCAAGAATGATTTCGTCAGCACGGAGCCGATACCCATTCCCCGTTCCCGGGACACAACCCACCAAGTAAGCGTAAACGTCGCACTTTCAGAGCCGCAAAGCACGAAAGACTTCTTGCTCGATCTCTGTGCTCGCCAGCGTGCACATGCGACTGCTGCGAAACAACCTGGTGGCAAAGAAGTCTGGGTTAGGATCGTCAAAGTGATTGAGACATTACATGAGTCCGGCCTCATCCCGGATTCTTCACCGTTCCACTTCTACCATGACGACTTCAATGCACACAATCTTCTTGCCTCTGTCACTTCGGAGTCAGAAATAGCCATCACTGGAATCGTAGGCTGGGATTCCGCGCTATTCGCGCCGGCTTTCATGAGCACGCGCGCACCGTTCTTCCTATGGAGTGGCAATGTTGGTGAAAGAGGCGAGGACGGCGGTGCGTTGGATGAACCGGAGGGGGCGGATTTGTTGGAGGCTAAGCGCGCTTTCGAGGGTGTTGTGGGCGAGAGCTTCCTGAAAGAGGCGTACTCCCCAGAATTAATTCTCGTGCGTCAATTGTGGCGTTTTTTGGTTAGTGGTTTCACGAATGGAGCGGATATCTTTCTTGCGGAGGAGATCGTGGAGGAGTTTGAGAGATTATATTCATCAGCGTAGGCTGGGTGTGGATGAGCAGTACGGAGCTATCGGGACGTAGGGTCAAATTGTTCGTCGATACAGTGGTAGCCGTTTAAAAAACCCCAAATTTCGTCGTTTAACAGTAACGCGGTGTGATTGTACTAGATGTTGACTCGGCAGCAAAAACAAAGAGGCTTCCTTCT